TTGATTAAATTAATGACACATTTATATATCTAATTTCTTATTTATTTAATGAATTACACATTTAATTAATTGCTTATAGCTGTATTTATTTATTTAATTGTGGCACTTTATATTAGTGACGTGGTTTTAATTAATGAATGACACATTTATTTAATTCCACATTTAATTAATTATTGACACATTTAATGATTTATTTAATGCTGTATTCATTTATTTAATTTTAGCACTTTTTAACCTCCATAGAAACAAACACCATGTATGCAGTCAAACATGGTGATGGTAGAGTCATGGTCAGGGCCATCTTTTGTTATTTTGTGAATAATTTCATTTTAAATATCCTTTAGCTTTTTATAACAAAAACCTAACATTTGATTTGTAAGAAAATTTGAATCCAACATAAGATCAATAAAAATAATATAACTTATGCAGAAACATCAGGATTCTTAAAAGGATGTTTATTTCCACTGGTTTGGGCACCTTATGCATGGGTCACTGCATCAGGACAGCGCAGTGTGAAAGAAATCAACCGCTCCCACTGCCCGTAGGTCAATTTATACATCAATCTCATTCTTTAAATGTAAGCGAAAAAATAAATAATTAGGGTGGGACTTGCTGTTATCCTCTTGAATCAAATTAAAACAAATTTTTTTTTTTCAGGTTTCAGTATGACATCACAATTTCTGGAAACAACTAGTGCAACAGGTTTTGTGTTTTCTTTTCCGTATCTGGTTAAAATGTAGGTCATGGAAAAGGCAGGTTGTGCAACAGTTGTTACAGAGGCTTCAAGGTATTAAAATAGACTGGAGTTTATTTTTGCAGACGTGCAGAATTATGGGGAATCTTATGGTAGATTTCTGCTCCTGCAGTGACGGCAGGAAGAGGTTAAACCCGTAGAGCCAGGCTGGATGCTTGCTTCCTCACTCATCATAAATTATGTAAATACACTGCTCAAAACACGTAAGATCTCAATGGGGGGAAAAAAATCCTGCTGTTTATTTATCCTGATATGGACTGGGTGATGTGTTAGGAACAAAAGGATGCCACATCATTTGGTGGAAATGAAAATGATCAACCTACAGAGGGCTGAATTCAAAGACCCCAACAAATAAAGTGAAAAAATGATGCGGCAGGCTAGTCAATTTTGCTGAAATTTTACTGCAGCCACTCAAAATGGTATTCATTTGTATGGCCCCCACATGCGTGTATGCATGCCTGACAACGTCGGGGCACGCTCCTAATGAGACGACGGATGGCGTCCTGGGGTATCTCCTCCCAGATCTGGACCAGGGCATCTCTGAGCTCCTGGACAATCTGAGGTGCAACCTGGCGGCGACGGATGGATGGAAACATAATGTCCCAGAGGTGTTCTATTGGATTTAGGTCAGGCGAGCGGGGGGTGGGGGGCCAATCAATGGCATCAATTCCTTCATCCTCCAGGAACTGCCTGCATATTCTCGCCACATGAGGTCGGGCATTGTCTTGCACCAGGAGGAACCCAGGACCCACTGCACCAGCATAGGGTCTGACAATGGGTGCAAGGATTTCATCCCGAT